GTTTTTGTTTATATATTGTTAATTTCGGTGCGATTGAACATCGCATTATGTCGAATGCGTTTAATGTACGATCGTAAACGTTTTTGAAATCAACGGTAGTATTTCGTTAAAAAAAAAAAAACAGTCAAATGAACCGCGAAAAGCCTATATAGATACATTACCTATATACCTATGGTATTGCATTTTTCATATACGTGTGACAGATCTTGTGTTTTTTCATTTAAAAAACAGGAGCTGTTTGCGTAACGCCATCGTTGTTGATGAAACGCGGTAGGCCTTATGTATTGTTTGTCGACACTACCGGATAGATAGGTACACTGTAATTGCGTTTGACCGTATTGACACAAACGAACATTGTGCTAATTGAAAACGGAATTAAAAAAAAAAAAAAGTAATTTATTAACAATAATGACAGACTAAAAGCGGAATGCGGCCCGAAGGTGATGATACACATATATATATATACATGTGTATTATGACTTAGCCGTGGGGAATATTTCAAAGCGTTAACGATGTCGTCAAGAAAAAATAAAAGAGTCCGTGCCATAACCTCCAACGAAATGACATCACACAATAGAATAATAAGATGGTTGAAAAAAAAAAGATTACACTATTTACATTGTGTCGCGAAACACTAAACTTAACACATTTATTCACATGGTCACGGTGGCGATTGTGAAACGACTATTTAACGTATTTTCACTACAAAACAATGTATAAGCTAAAAATATTTTAAAACAAAAAACACAAGAGCACTTAAACTTGAGCATTATTTAAAACAGTTCAGTCGGCATAACAAAATATTTATATTTTATTGTAAAAAGGAATAATAACTTTATGTTTATACTTGACAAATATGTAACATAATACTACTCCGTTTTCACGTGAATGTAATTTTTACTGGGTATTATTTGTAATAAATAAAAACTTTGATGCCTAATAAAACCCTTAGTTTCGACGCGCAGCTGAAAAGTTTTTATTTGATTTTCTTGTTAAAGATTTTCGTAACACAAAAACTCATAAATTTGACAAAAAAATGTAAGTGTTATTCCGAGTAAATCGTTCCACTGATAATGATAGTTATTATTATGATTTTCTTACTCGGCCGATCTTGTGATAACTATCTCTTTCCACACCGGAGGAAGAACAATCATTATAAAGATGCCAAGTGTACTTGTAATTGTCAGATGATTGTTGTTTTTTTTTTTTTTTAAAAGGGGAAAATATGTGCAACTGTCTAATTTACAAGAACAGCTAGTGTATACCTGTATTAAGACAATACATAAGTAGTTGATGCGTTTGCCGAGAGCACGCGATCAATTACACCATATTACGCAGTATGTCCGAAAAAAAGAAAACAATAGATAAAGCCGCGCGTAGAAGTAATAATTATTGACATTGTGCAGAAAATAACAAAACAATGATTGAGACCGTGTTTTATATCTGGAAAAAAACGACCAAAGACAGGCGGAACCAAAGGCTAAAGGGACCAAACAGTGGCAAAAGTATAGCTCTTAATTTTATTAACTGGACAGTATGTTGTTTTAACAAAAAAATTAAAGAGTGCAAGTTCACATTCGATTTCGTACCTTAAAATGTATGGGAGAGCTTTGAGAAAACCAAACAAATGGTTAACACTAATAAACTTTTTTGTACAAAAAAAGATAAAAAAAACACATTGTATTATAAGGGAGTTTTTGTGTAACGTTATCGTCCGTCGTTAGCCTCCGCTAACCGATACTGTACATAGTTTAGATTATTTTTAGAGATAATTAGTGTCTTACGTTTTTTTGGATCACTTGGTTTACATTAATCATTTTCATGTCTAAATTACTCAATAATTAATACGCTAATGAGATTATTGGCAATACTTATTCGCATTTTATACTGATTAACATTTCCAAATTACACTACCCTCCTTTTTCTAATTCGCCTTTTATCTCATACGGCCCTATCCTCATCCACAAATCATGATCGAATTTCTTTCATATCACACATTTGACATCATTACACCACATTGGTTTTATCTTTAACATCCACCCACTACTTCGATCTGTCTTTATTTTCCATCCCTCTACGCGAATTTATTATTTAACACATTATAAAATATTTCTCTCGTTCGGATTTCTAAACATACATTTTAGATACTTTATATCATCATTGTGTCCGTCTGTCTATCCGTCCTATCAATACTTTACAGTCGTTAACAATATTTTCCGTTTTATTTATTTGCTACTAGGACATTTTAGTTTATTGTTTTTGATACGCTTAGACACTGGGAATTAAGCAGGCTAGCTAAGTAGGCTTTCTAACTGGTTTTATTGCCTCTAAATTATACAACTATACTGTCTGTGTTCAGCCGTTATATATTGTCACTTGCAGTCTACATCTGTCCGCATCGATCCCATTTAACTTTTATTTAGAGGACCCATTGGTCCACCACGCGATCACATAATTATTATACTCATTATTGGTTAACGGGCTCGTCGCGCATAATAACGGGAGGACATTATTGGGAAGTGACCCGTAAAATCATTATATTTAGTTGCTGTAAGATTAATGTTACACCTGCGACGCGCTAATTGACTTCGAGGCGGGCTCGACGTATAACCGCCTCGGGAAACCACATCATTTTTTATTTATAATAACAATTATACAGAAATCATGCTGTTAACGAGACCGCCGAACGTTAATTGCCATACAAATCAAACGGGCTTCGACGACCGCCATTGCGGGATATCGTACGACCTCGAGGAAAAATATAACCTATTTTCAAAACAGTTTGACGAAATGCCAAGCAAGGACATGTGGTCTGGCGTTGGGTCTAAATTTCCGAATTTTTGAGTTGGCACTAGCGCCTCACACATCGTTCATTTTGTCTGAATAAGCAAATACACTAAACAACGTAGCAGTTTAGCTTTACCCTCAAAGAACGGAAAGCCCAATCAGTCTTGCGTATGTCATACAACATCTTGAATACCATTTTTTTTTTTTGGTTCAGACTTGCCTCCCGGACTGTCATTGTGCGTGAACAAATTAATCTGCTTCCTCTTCATCTCAATCGTCTGTTTGGTTTTTGTGCAGCCGGCCGGATAATTTAACATTGATCATCTCTCATCCAACTGGGTTCAGTAAAGAAATAAAGCGTCCAATTTTCGATAAATTAAAGCGTATGACAAAATCTTAAATGTAGACACGGCTTAGCGGAGACTAAAAAAGCTTAAGATACCGCACTACTAGTAAATTGTTATATTCGTATTTTATAAATTTGCAAACACGTGTGACAGTGAAAGTTAGAACAATTTTTTAAATCTAGTTTTGAGTAAAAAAAACATTTTTGGTTTCATAATAGTCACAAATTACTAACATTTTCAGCTAAATTAAGAATAAAAAAAATATTCAAAAGGAAATTAAATCGTAGACTATATATAATTGTAATTTACGAGTACAAAGTGTATTATGTGTAAACATAAATATTTTTCTATAACCTGAATTAAAAATTCAGTTGTATACATCTACTATAGCCAAAGTACAAATACTGAAGAATTTTTTTCCGGAATTATTGTATACTTTTGCGACCTCTAAAAACAAAACTACTCTTGTCTTTTAATATGCACACGTCAGAACGAATGTTGTGAACAAATGTTGTGACCCAATAGCAGTCCTTCATAGACTGATTTTCGACAATGATACCCAACGTGTGTTGAGCAATTTAAAAGCAAATGGCCTTCGAGGAAAATAACAGACATACAAACGGACGGCAGGTAATATTAAGTGGGCGTTGTTTTTTTGCCGACTGGTGCGAAAATAATAATATATTTTCCAAAATGTCAAGTGTACTTAAAGAAATGGCGCACCCGCCCACCCCTCCTGGATAGTGCAATACGGGTAGTATATATTATTATATGTTCTACTTATATTTCATGAGATCTTCTTGGCGAGGGTACTTTATTATTAGTTTCTTACACTGTCAACATATTATTCCGTACTACGGTATTACGGTTTCTACAGGAAACACTACCTACAACATCCGAATGACCCGAGTATACTTTATTGATAGTTGTTCATTGTTTTCAAGAATCGGACAATACCCAAAATCGTCTTGAACGACATTTGTTTTGTTAACCTTGGATGACATTTTTCTTGGTCTCTTAATAAAAAAAACTAATTTAACAACTATTGTAACATGCAAGTCTCCAAAAGATCTGTTGACTCTTATAACAGTTGATTTTCATTAAATACTAACAGAGAACTTGATGTGATTAGTGAAATGATTTGAGAAATTCTAGACATCCAAGAAAACTAATTGCAAGTGTTCGTGTAACCGTAACCTATTTAAATTTTAATTACTTAAATAAAAAGGGAAGATTGTTAAAATTTATCAATAGTTAAACTAATAAAATTCCAAAATATTATGAAATCGACAAACTTGAATCAGAACGACTAGAATGAACATTGATGTTAAATGGATCTTGCGGAATTTTTCATTCCGGATAATGACAGTTTGAATTCGATTTACATTTTGTTGTCATAAAGTCGTTGGAAAATACGGTTTGTTTTAAATTCGTACGGGAAACATTTGCCGACTAAAACAAACGGCGAATAGATTATTTGATTAAATCCGGTATTAACTCGGCTAAAAGCTTTGAACGGCGTTTGACTTTGACGTTTAATGAACACGGTTGGAAAAAAAATATCAACTCACTCGAGGGTGTTTCGATATCACAAACTTTTCATCTTTCCACCAAAACAACCGCGTTTATATTATATCCAGCTCGCCGACGACTGGAAACTTTTGACCCGAGAGTGCCGGTATGGTTTGTAATTTTATTTGAAACATATTTTTTTAAACGAACAATTCGACTTGATTAAATACGATATAAGAATATATATATCCTTATATTATATTAACGTGCGGAGGTCCAACGCGCGCGTCTGCTGTAGAATTGCCTATAGAAAGCGCCGTTTTAACGTTTGTGTTGTTTTGTCTGTTTCTACAGCCATTATGGGTGCGTTCGCTTGGTTACTGATGCCTCTGATATCCGGTGCAATGGTCGCTACCGCCGAACAACAATGGAAGTCCAATTTCAGGTACAAGCCTTACACGTGGGGCGAAAGTATGTACCCGATCAAGTATTCGACAGCTTACAAGGCGGCGTCTGGGTTCCCGGCGACCAACAATAACGAGAGGTTTTCTGCGCCCAAGTCGGACGGTTGCGATCTGCACAAAATCGTCTTCACCCAAGATTCACGCTCGCCTCAGGTAACTTGCCGACCACTGATTAGGACACTAGGTTCGGTCATAAGCCGTAATAAGATGTTAATTTCAATGGGATTGTTAACGCCGTAGACAGATCCTGAACTGAAATGAATATACTTCGAATACAAAATCGAGCACTACAGAAAGCCTATATTAAAAAAAAAATTGCACGTGGTTTTTTATTGTTGTTTACTTATTTTCCACGATACAAGAACTTTTTAAACCTTGTCGTGTGTGTATTTTCTTCTGATTTTATCGTTAATGTCTCACGCACGACTTTCTTTTCACTTTTCTTCACGCTATAAGCTCAAACAGTGTAAATGTATTCTCTTTCAATTTACCTTGGCTAAAAGTTTTTTACTCGTATTTCTAGAACCATAATGTTATCTTTCTTGGTATAAAATAAAACTAGACTTATGATGCTGCTATCTCATTATTTACTCTCTTTTTTCAAATTTACATAGAATGACAAATAATTTGCTTTCTCCTTTATACTACCGTTGCCTTTAAACCACGGATACGTTCTTACCCGAGCCTCTATATTTACCGTCTACTGAAAAACTGCGAAAGAAAATCGTTAACCAAACATGCCTCAATCCCATTTTCAATTCAAATTGAATCGGTTATTCCCTTGATCTCATTTCCATATTATTTATTTAAAATCCTATCTTCTAAACTCCATCATATCGGTTGTTTTTCAAAATACTTTATCCTAATCGTTACTTTTAAGAATTCTAATAAATAATGGGTTTATACGTTGATTATGCAAACAACTAATTAATGTCCTCTTCTAGTTAAGTTTATGAGCAAGATTCAAATAATATATATAAATTATGTAAAACAAAAACTAATGTATTGTGATTTTTTTCTATCCTCAGTACGTCCTGTACAAGTCGAAAATCCCGGACATCAAGGAGTTCACGCTCTGCCACTGGCACAACATCTTCAACTATACTCACGACCATCCGATATTTTCATACTCGCGTAAGTACACTTGTAATATTTAGATTTATTTTTAGAAATTATAATTACTGCATTTGATAGTAAAACAGTTAAATCGGGTCAAGCTTTGTGGCAACATTATACGCCATGTTATTATTAATGCGACCCCGCAATTCCATCGTTATTATCTCGTTTACCTCAAAAACTAATAATTGCATTGTTAAAATAAAAGCACAGTCGTTTGGTCGTAAAATCGTTCCACCGTTACATCATAGCACAGTCGTCAGGCCAGACCAGTTATATGATTTTTTTACAATGATTTTGGTAGGTATTTCATTCGTTAATCAACGCCGGTTGAGTATTATATACGGCGTAATGTATTGTTAGCTATTGACAGATGTTCTGTTTAGATGATTTTTGTTATTAACCGCTAACGCACCGAAATGGCCTGCTGGTGGCAGTTATACTTTAAACGCCTTAAGTTCCGGGGCTACAGAGTAAAATGAAAGTTTAACGAGCCCCAAGCCAAACGGTATACGACTAACACACGCGAACATCGCGTTAGCAGCATCGATGTACCGCGTGTCTTGTCGTTATTACATAATCATTAATGTATCCTGGGATAAATCAACCGTGTTTTTCATGAACTCAGATTCGCAGCAGTTACTTAAATTGGATGTTTTTTCGTTTTTTCCAAACAATTTGTTTTGGCTCGTTACCCGACAAAATGTATTTGCAACAACCAAAATGTACATCTATGCCTACTAATAATAATAATTATATGCAATTTACAATTCGTTCGCAATTGCAGTGCCCGGAAGACACAGAGTCATCTATTCGTGGATAGAAAATTCGCCGGAGAAGACTTATTACAACTTGGCCATTAACGGCCACACGATTTACAGAATGAACTATCCGGAAAAACTATTCAAATGGTATCACGTTTGCCAGTCGTGGAACGGTCACACCGGCGAATGGCAACTCTGGGTCAACACTGAGAGGGTGGGCAGAGGATTCTACAATCTGGTAAGTTACATCGATTGGCTTTTGTTTTGTTTTATTTTTAGCACTTTACGGCGCTAAAGGAGCCGCATCTATTATAAAAGAACAATGGCGAAAAGCCGGAACATTTTTTTTTCTTTTTGCCTTCATTGGAATTTATACGACTGCCTTATATTGACCTTTCCCGGCCAAGTAAACAACAAGTCGGCATAAAAACTAATAGAACTCAAAGGACGCGTTTCATGTTTTTTCTTGAGCTACCTACGCCATTCGCAGTGTGATTGTGGAAATATTTTCCAAATAATGGCAGGTTCTTGAATATTTCAAAGACCAGCGTTTGCAAAGACCCTTTTTTCCCATGATAATATTGACACTCTTTCAATAAATAAGTCTACCTGATCAAAATGTGAATGATTATTTAAAAAGTTTTTTCTTTGTTAAGAAAAGTTCAGGCAACTATACAATAAAATAATAAATACTTAATTATATTTAAATTTATTAGCGCGGAGACAAACACAATAATTAAGCTGGCTGTTGCAATAGTTATTTATAGGAACTTTTCGTATGAATTATCAAACTCATCATCGCTCGTCCGTCTATAGTAATTGATCTAAGACTAATCATTTTAACCACAGAAAGCAAATTACGACAGGAGAATATAGTAGAAAAATATACGAAACACCAGTGTTTTAATATTTATTTATAACAAATGGAAAACTTCAAAAATGTTTTGCTCCCCGTGACGTTTTTAATACCCACGATGAAAATAAATGCCTTTCCCTTCGGGAACAATCAGTACGACGTAGAGAGATGCAAGAGAATGGTCGGAAGACTTAATCGTTTGGTCTTGTATTGATTCGTAAAAACAGCGTGAATTGAAAAAAACAAAATGACAAATATCCTTAATGTGATAATGTCGAATAAACGAGACACGTGTATCCAATGGTTATTAAGATGTCATTTTTTTAAGTTTTCTCAAAAGCAATAATCAATGTAAGTAAAACAGGCGTTGAACATTTTAATGTGTAGTGGGATAATTAATCTGATTACTCAAGTATTAACTCAGTCGATTTTCTGCTATTTATATTTTTAAATATTCACTATATATTTTTGCAATTAACATAAATAATGAGTATTGGAATGAAAAACAAACCGGTATCTTAAAATACACGTTTGAAATTGAGTTATTTTCATTTTGCTAGAATTAATTAACTCGCAAATGAACGCGTGAATCTGTTCAATGGTTTTTCTTAGTTAGGTAACGTTCATTTTGTTTCTAATATCTTTTTCGATTTTCGCTAGCTGGTATTATTCTAAATCCTAATGTCGATATACTAACCATTAATTTATTACAATATGCCATATTACAAACTAACCTTGGTTGTAAATCGTCTGGAAAGGCTCTGTGTACCGTAAATACGCGGTTCTCGTTTAGAATATGTTATTCAGATACTACTGTCATATTATTATTATTATCATCTACTATCATTATTATGATGGTACCTACTCACGTGGCTTACACTATATTATGGAAGTGTATATTTCAGTCACGTCCGATATATAATCACAGGCAATGAATCTTGGCGGCGAACTCGTTTAACTGCGACTTCCTATTTTTCATAAATAAACATATAATGCACTCGGACATACTGGTTAAACAACTAATGCGTATGAATAGGCACAGCAAGATAAACGTGAAAACGGCATTTTCTCTCGCTGGTCTCGAGTGTGTTTTTTTAGTCGTCCAGACGAGTAAAAGTTGTTTGTATCGTCCGTTTTATTATTTTGAAATGTTTTCTTTTATTTTGTTAAGTATAATTAATTGATCCCATATAGTCCAAACTATTCCTGGCTAAATTTCACAATTTTTTTTTTTTAAAAACAGAAGTCCTATACAATCAAACGGAATACAGAATATTCCAAAGGGGAGGAGGGGAACATATTATATACCGGAGATGGTTGAAGTGGTTTTACTGATACAAAACGTTTGTTTGAACATTGGCAGTTACTTGTGTGAACATGATAAACGGCCCAGCACGTTTTGCACTTATTTAATATGTGTATATAAAATCCACACGATTTTTAAAATATTGCAAAGTGACGTCAGAACAAAACGCGTTTTGTAGTATGTTGGAATTATATATTTTTAGTCAGTTAAAATACCAGAAGCCAGAAACTGACCAAGGCTGTTAAGAATGTCGAATAGATAGAATATTAGAAACTACAATTATTACGGACTTTGTGGTTTTGAGTTTTGCTCGCTATTATTTTGTTTTTAAGGTTTAATATAACTATTAAACCATTTAATGCGACTCGACTACGTCCTATGTAAGTCGTTAACGAGCGCAGCCATGAATTATAAGAGGCACCTAGAACACAAGGGGTATAACTTATAAGTGACATTTATGCAAAATCTGAGTTAAGCCCACAGCCAAACTACAAACTGTCCATTTTATTTGGTGGTAAAGATATATATATATAAGTGAATCATGCATCATTTTCTGCGATCCCGTAGCAAATCACCTAACCCCCAAACGAAAACGCCATACATGTAAACTTTGAGCTTGATTTTCTCGAAGTCAATAAAATGTCACTTATACCCCTGGTGTTCTAGGCGCCTCAAAACCGTGTAATGTTTGCACAATTAAACAGTATTTTAAGCGGTAAATATAATATTGACGGAGCGACGATAAAATTCGAACAGCATTAACAAACAAACACTAACTTGGCGTGATTTCCGAGAAAGTTTAAAAACCCGAATCAGCTTTTCCGTAAATACAATAATAACATTACCATCATTCTCGTCGTGACCTGTCGCCAGCCTGAAAACTCAATTAACCGTTAAAAGTTTAACCAAAATTAGAAAAAACGACAGCTGCAGGTGAGACACACCGAAAATAAATTACTCTCGGAAAAATCTATCTTTACAAACAAATTTAACGCAATGTATCTACAAAACGCGTTATCAACATTTCTTTAATTGAAAAAAAAAAATTTCAAAAAATAATCTGAGAAATATTATGTGATTGTTGATTGAAAAAACAACAGGCTGGGTGCTACATTGCTAATGTTATATCGTATGATCGACCAACAAAATAACAATTTTTTATTTTTGAATATTGCTTTTTTTGTTGTTTTACTAATTTGTTGATTTAATGATACATTTGTCATTTACTATACGTAATTAAAAGGCCGCTGTTGTTTTCCGCCAAAATGGCCTTAACCCGTTATATACCATGTTCGTTTCCCGTAAAGATATAATATTTTGATTTCTGCCAAACTAAATTAAAATTTTGTTTAAGAACTCCAAAATTTGTTTAGTGCTCGAAACTTTATTTTTTTAGTTATTAACAATAGTAAATAATAATTATTTTTAACGTGAAATCTGCGTTGTAGGGTGATACGATAATGCAGCGGTATACCTTATATAACCCGAGGCTGGACAAAAAACTAATTTTTCTAAATGTTAACAGCTAAAATTGTAATAATAGATCAGTTAATTTAACAAATAAATATTCAATTAACCAAAGCTAATATTTGATTAATTCTTAATTTTTTAGTTTTAAATAAACTGCGCCGTATTTTGAAGAGTATCAGTAATCTGGTATACTGGTGAAATATTTTTATCACAGAAAAGCCCTATAGTTATTAATTATTATAATGGACGATGCATTTATTTTCGCAGATGGTCGGCAAACTCATCAAGGGCGGCGGAGTGGCCATTAGCGGCCGGGAATACCTGGACCACGCGTTCGCCGTGGGCAAGATGGCGTATTCGGGAGAGCTGACTCTGATGACCATGTACAAGGCGGCGCTGACCGCCGGCAAGGCGTACAACGACCATAAGCACCATCACGCGCACAACTTCCACCACGGTTACGACCCGGCCATCGACGAGGCCGACGACAACGAGGACGACGAAGCGTCGGCGTTGACGCCCGAACCTACTCTACCGCCACACTTGGCGCACGGCGGCGGATTCGTCAACGGTCAGCGGGACCACAATTTGCCCATTCCCCACCTGTCGGCCCGGGACCCGCCCAAGGGACAACAGCAGCAGCAGCAGCAGGACCAACAGTTCAACCTGTTCGACGGCGGCCTTTACGACTTTTATTCGCCGCTGAAGGCGGACAGTTCGGGATTCGACGAGACGTTCCGAGTGAACCTGCTGGACAGACAGGACGGCCGGCGCAAGCGGAACGCCACCGAACCGTCCGCCGTCCGAATGGGCGCACATGACAACAACGGGTCCGAACGGGACAAGAGATGGGTGCCGTCCGTGGGCGGATACCGCAACAGCAGGAACGGGGGCTTCTACCGACCGCCGCTACAGCACCGGTCACCAATTCCGTCGAAACGCGAACCCGCCGAGTGGGAAGTGTCCAAAGTGGCCGAAGTGTGTGCGGCTTGCATGGCTGATCCGTTCGGCGAGGCCAGCATACTGTCGTGGCAGGACACAAAAAAACAGTTTTACAACGGAGCGCTTTTCATGCCGGCATTGCCCAAATGCTATTCGTTTTAACGCGCATTCGAGAAAAAACAAGACCCTTCTGCTCGCCGCCCGCGATTGCGTTGTCTCCCGCGGCAGTGTACATTGTAAATAACATGTAAGAATAAGTTCGAATCGAGCAATTATTTTCAAACGAAAGTCTTTCGTGTAGACTGGAATAATAGATTTTTTTAAATTATTATTTACCGAAAGGCGATTCGCGTGGCCATAATATAATATGTACTCGGTATAACATAATAACTATTATTATTATTTTATTTTATTTTATTAATAACTTAAGGAGAGCGACTAAAAAGCTACGCGGTCGTTCGTTATGTTGCCTATCCGATTAGCCGTCAGCACCAAACCGATAACGAATTCAACGCTGTACTAAATATTATCCCCAGTCGGCTGAACCGATTTCAATGTAAATGCCGAAAGCAGTCCAGTACTTAGTATAGCCAGATGAAAGCCTAGTTATAAGATATTTTTTCAGCCTTCTCTCTACCCTTGGTTGTAATCCCGTTTCGGATAAATACATGTTGTTATAAAATTTTCAGTAGGCACACCATTTCAAGGTCAGGTAAATAGATAAATAAACAATTTGAAACTACAAAAGCCTATCCGTGTCTCGACGACGTTTAACAAGATTGGTTCAAACTGTTTTTGTTGTTTTTACCGTTAGCATCATTATGTATGCGTTGGCTTCTATACATTAACAGCGGATCGCAATTTAAACTTGTATTGTTTGTATTAAACCCTTCGGCGTGCCCTTTTAACCCTTGTGTTTTGCACAAATTAACAAGGCAACCCGAAGATTGTTATTGTTTCGACTTTTAGCCGCGTGTATAATATATAAAGACATTTGCTAAATAATATACATAACTGTACATATTATATTAAGTTTCACTCAAATGTATTAATAAATTAATAAGTGGTAAACCAAAACATAAACCCTTAGGTCATAATATAAACGATTTTGTTTAATAATAGATTATAGTATAACTGTGATATCGTTACCGTGTATATACTATTATTATCATTATTATTATTATTATTATTATTATTATTATTATTATTATTATTATTATTAGTAGTAGTAGTATTTTTATTTGTATTATTATTATTATTAGTAGTAGTATTTTTATTTTTATCATTACTATTATTAATAATATTATTATTATGTTATTTGTACAAATTAAAATACTTTTCTACACTTATGAGTTTTTTATGTTCGATTAATTTCCTAAAATGTATTCTAAATAAACATTAAAATTTTTTTTAACGTAAAAAATACCATTAAACAGTTTTTTTTTAGTAAATCTAAAAAGTAATTATTAGATGTGCTAGAAAAATTTTGAAATCAGGTTTAACGAAAAATGAATTTATTTTGGTTTCAAAAAAAGGTCAAATTTTGGTTGTTCCAAATTTTATTATAGCCAATTTAATTGGTAATTTGTTTTTATTTCTTAAAGTGAACGAGTCAGCTGTTTTGATAAATTGTTTTAATCAAACGTTATTTCAATCTTAATAGACTTAGCAAGTTTTAGCTTCTGAAACATCATAGTTCATTAACCATAACGTCGTTTCAAAAGATTTATTCAAACAAAATTTGGATTTTAAAATTGTCCATGTTAAAAATTGAAGGTCGACTCGGTTGAGTATTGATAATGCTAGTTTAGATTTAAAAGGACGCTACACAGGCCATTTTTAAGGAGTAAAGTATAGGCAGTTTTTCACAAAATCTTAACTTAGATCTTGAACTATAGCGTACACTCATTAATACAGTAATGAGAATACTTCATTGGTCGTACTTTTTTTGTCAGACTATCGCAGTCGTTTTTATAAGATGAACTACAATTTTTTCCTACTAAAACTACTTTGCGCGGGACAAGTATGTGAGGCCAGTATTAACAGTAGATTTACCAAATGTTCACAATGTATAGAGAAGAACTTTATCCATGGGGTAGCGTTTTATATTTTTTAAATCTATACTTAATACCATTCTCATATTCTTGTTCCCCGCAAAACCATTTTTCACGGATAAATTACGAATGGGTAGCGTCTTCTTAATCTCTAAACAACAATCGCTATAGTAACTCCAATACCAAGTATACAGAGAAGGTATTTGTCATGATGGGTAATCTTTAATGCCAACCCCTTTATAAAAGGTACAAACGAGGACGTAGGCCCCCTCTTAAGTAAGTCAACATTTTTGCGATACTTGGCTCATTTTTTTTTTTTCACTTAGCACGCGGTAGTACTCGTGAAAATCGTGTGCCAAAATAACAATGGTAGTTTTTTGCTGTTGCTATATAAATGCGAATACACAGATTTTATGTCTACACAGGCACGTTCGAAATCTGCCATTTACAGTTGTAACCCGTAGGGCGTGTAAAGTTTGTACGTTAAGAAACATTAAGCGCACACGTGGTTTCCGAGTAAAATACCGACGGTGAAGCCGTCACAACTGTACAAACCGCTTTTTTTTTTTGAAAGTTTGCGTTAGTAAGTAAAATATGAAAAATTCATAATCTTTTGCGTTGATAATAGAAGCTTTAACCGTCAAATCTGCACCGCTGTTTGTAACCAAGTACGGTATTACGAAATGGGGATATCGTATTACCGTCAAGTCATGAAAATACAAAAACATTATCTCTTAATTTTTACAAAACAAATAAAACAAACGGTGCTGAACGATAATAATGAAAAATGGATTATGTTTTTATAACAATAGTTCAGCATGTTTTCAATACGGTCCGGAATTCGTATTTTGTTTTATAATAATAATTTCATTTGTCTCCTGTGAATCCGGTTGCACACGGTTAGTATATTTATACTTATATACATATATAACGAAATAATGAAATACTGATAATAATGATGATACTAATTTATTATTTATTTACAATAGGCTCAGCAGCATATGGCTATTTCAATAATAATATTTATTTTCAATTTGTAAAAACAACAATAATAAACTATTCAAACAACTTAAAAATAAATTAACACCATTCAAATCAATCTATTTGAACATGGAAGTCATTTTAAAAACAAATTATTTACATATCACAGGTCAAGTAAACGATACAACCATACAATATGTTCCTGTTCTGTCGTTATCGTTAAGTAAAAAACTGAAAAGTGTCGTGGGCCATTCATGTACATTAATATAAGAAAAATGTCCTAAATGTTAACTGTAAAACGTTCCTACAAAATAAAATTATATGAAGATGTCATATGACGTCAAATACCTTTCTATTAATGATAATGATAATCGAAATAAGAGATGGGCAAAAATTATTCGAAAAATAGGTACTGCATAAAAAGTCACGAATGTCTACATTTTTATGCATACATACATAATTAAATTCATTATTCGGTTTTTTATCATTCATAAATACAATTTTTATTTATGAATAAAATTAGTATTCATGAATGAAATCATTCTTATGAAATACAAATTATTTACGAATGAAAAAATAACGTATATTTTTTATTTTAAATAATTATTTTATTTGGATAACAATGTATTGATAAATGCCTATTTCTGCTTGTAATTCTTTTTTTTTAAACAGGGTTCAGGATAAAGGTCCAGGACAGAAAAAATGTATTCGTATAAATTTTGTTTTGTAGAGGTGTGAATTACACATGGAACTTATTCGGACTCAATTTTTTTAGTAACCAAATAAAATAATTTGTTTATTGGGAGTTTTGGTAAACCATAAACTAAAAGGTAAATAACGTTTTAGAAGTAATTGTTGTGTTTCGAGTAGAGGTGTAATCAGGGGCGGTTCTAGGACTCAAATTTCGTACGGGCAATTTCGTTAGTCTTTAAACACAATGTAGTTAAACATATAATGTTATAATAAATTATAGGTACTGTAAACTATATTTTTATAACTCATTCAAAATTTTGGTACGGGAAGCTGCCCACCCTGTCCGTACGCTAGAACCACCGCCACTGGGTGTAATAAATAGGACACGAGAGCTATAAGAGATGCCTTTTGAAAGACCCGCATATTGTCTCCATGGCGCTCTCCTCTAGCTGCCACGACTCTTCGTGTTCACTGTGTGTATACACAAAATATAATATGGAAACTATAAATTACCTTTGTCTTGTGTATGTGCTGGTGCTGGTATTCGGAATCGAATTCGGGTTCGCTGAAGTACGACTGATCCTGGTCCCACGTGGGAGCGGCTACCGTCAACCCTTGGGGCAGAGCACCACCTTCGGCCGATTCGAAGAGACGCAGCACTGACCTGTCTCGTATGTCGTTCAAATGAGACCTGTGTGGACAAAACAACAACAGCAACGACATAAGTATGTTAGTTTTCAGAGTGATAGATAACGAGAAGGCAAACGTGCTCCATCGAAATCTGTTGGTTTTCCATTACTGGTCGGATTTTGTTTGCTGACAATTTAAAATTGGGGGAAATCTTTCAAAAGTAAAAAAACAAGCATCCAGAAATCCCGCCCAAACCCGTAAGCGACCGCATCGTATGATTATCCTATCCGTGAGACCCGACGGAAAGCGGTCACAACTGAAGGATTAAGAGAGGTTGCTGCCGGTGAACCGTAATATAATATACATTATGCTATACAAAGTGTATTGTACAACTTTAGCCAGGCGAGACTAAGCACTAAATGAAATGCAAATGTGGTCTAAGCGCCACAAAAACAAGTGATGGCGTCGCCATTCCTTCCTGTCTATCCTTTTTTCCGTCTCGAAAATAATTTTTAAAAAAAATGCTTAATGGAAATACTAATGCGGTTTAGACGTGGTAGGTATAGTCGTACACAGGAAAAAAAAATAGTTGGTCTAACTAAAATTATAGTTAATATAAATAAGTACACAATACATTTCTAGTTGGAATAACTAAATAAATAGTTGGGCCAACTAAAATTGTAGTTAAAGCAACTATACATTAAGCCAATTAGTTAGCATTAGAATATTAGTATACATTCAGACATTTAGGCTAACTAGTTATTCCAACTAGAAATGTATTGTATCTTTATATTAACCATAATTTTAGTTGGACCAACTATATATTTATTTCCGTGTATATATTTAACTTGAATTTGTCAACAGTCAGAAGCAAACTATAAACTACCTTAAAATACATTGGCATTCGCATTGTGTGGTTAAGGTTGTACAATGCGCATAGCTCACAAATATAAGGCAATATTTTTTTTAAGTTAAAACTTAAAGTAAATTTGATGGTGATAATTTTAATCATGTGTAAACTTTTTTATACACGAGCACATGAGATTCCAAATTTGTACTACAAAGTATACTACTTAGATTCATTTCAAAAGGTTCATAAAAAAAAATATAATTTCTTTTTAGCCCAATTCAAACTAATCAAAAATTTGAAAACTTGATCGTACTTATTATCATGTATTAAATACATTGTATTAATTCAATGTCAATAGTTAAAATAATTTAAAACTAAAAAAATGATCCATGGATACTAGTTAAATAATTTATGACTAAACAATTTATTTTAGGTTAAATAGTTAACTTTATCATGATTGAGAAATTAATCATGTATAAATAGGCACCTAATTATATAATTTTTAAAAATCAATCCTAAATAAATAATTAATTTGATCGTGACTAAATAAATAAATAAATAATGAAATAAAAGTTAATTTTTTATTTGTGAATTTTTTTTAAATAAAAATGTATTTATATTATGCAAAGTTATTTTCCCAATTTATAAAGACTAAAATAACTATAAAATAATAAACTTTTCGTATCTACTTATCTTTACTATTAATTATAGGTACTCGTTATTATCGATCGTGTGTGGCAAATTGTAGACTATTCAATTTCAAAGCAAAATAGACCATAAATGATGGCGACCTTGAATGTTTCTTTTAGATAGAAAAGTAAATGATACATTTCCGAAAAGATTCCATAGTCATTTAATTTAATTTAATTTAATGTAAACGTCGTGCAAAAGCTACTCACAACTGTTGTGGAATATTTGTGGGAGTCACTACATAATATTCAGATTTTCTATACTAAAGCTGCATTGTTTGAATTGATTTTTGCATTTAAAATATGTTACGTTATTTTAATGCTGATAATAGATTTTGCTGGACGGAACGATTTAACATATAAAAATGAAAATATTAGGTGACTTCATGAATTAGGCAACGTTGTTTTTCATGGTCTGTTACATGGGAAAATATGAGCCATTTTTACTGTTCTTGGATTGTGCAAATTGTCTGACTATTGCTTGAATTTTGAAACCGTTACCCATTTTGTAAAATAAACAACTACGCATTTGGAGGGTGAAAACACAAGGAATTCTGACTGGACCTACCAGGCTGGCGATATTGTTGTTATATTTTTTTTTAACCTACTAATATGATTTTAGTCAGACAAATGAGTAAAATACAATTATTTTTTCTACGAAACAGTTGAAAGTATAATATATGGTACAGTATATACATAATATTATTCCTTATTTGATACTTCGTTTAAACCATTTAAAAAACACAATTCAAAAATAGTATAAAGCGAGATAAATGGAACATTTGGTTGTTCTAAAATTATGGAGCGCCCAGATGAGAGAAATGCCGTTGATGTGTAATGTGTTATTATACCGAATGTATACATTGTGAAAATCATAAATAATCCAACATCTGTCGGCCTTTCGTGTAATCGGGTTTCGACACACCGAACGAGACGATAAAAGTTGTGTTTATTTTTACACTCTAAAGTTATATTAAAATGAAAGTGTGTAATAATAAAACACTTCTGATACAACGCAAATAAAAAGGAAACAATAAAACTGCGAACTCGTTTTAATTTTATTATGGAATTTATTCTAGAAACATCCATTCATAACAATAATCTTTTTTACTTATTCCGTGTAAGTCACTACTTTAACGCTGCATTGTCGTACCCAGAGATTTTATCTTGCCACAGTTGAGCATTAAAAAAAAAAAAAGTGATTTACAACTTGTTGACATTGTATCAAATTTATTTTTACGACGCTGAATTTAAAAAGACCATAAATTGAGTTTTTTAGTATTCGAATTTTGTGGTTTGTCATTTTCATGTGTAAACATAAACAGGCTTACCTGAGATCTTCTAGTTCGTAGAACATATCTTTGGAAGAGTCGTGTATGTAGATTTTAACGAGGGCCGAATCCATGTATTCCATAGTGAGCTGTTTCGGAAAAGACCTTACGAACAGAGCTTTTACCGTGTCAATGGAGGTGATCTCATTCGGCAGTAGCGCCCTCTTGGTTTCACTTCGGTATTGCAAAAAGACCAAACCTAAAAACAAATATATCCAAAACATTATTCCAGACCAATATTGCCACGAGCATCGAAACAATATGTGAGCATGCGTTTCGTTATTGATGTATAGTAATACTTAGTAATTTAATACAGTTCTAGTTTGTTTGGATTTTGCATAAAAGTTAAAGGTACTAAACGGTTTTGCAGAAATAAATGTGTATTACATCATGAACACAAGAAGAAGCAGCGATATGGTTCAGATAAACCAATGTCTTTTACCTATCACGCATGTATCGTTTTACGTGAGACACTAATTATTTATGAAAATACTTTTTATTTTTTTTCCAACCCGTTAGGTATCAATAAAGTTTTAGGCCCTTTCCTTCGTTACTATACTACGAGTATGCTCCGTCCCACAAGAGAAGTATTCAGAAACTGCGCAGAAACTAAAAACGCATTACTCTCGCGAGCGGCTGCGCAGCCACGAGTAAGGCGTTATGATTTGTGTCTGGGTTATTTCTATTGTGGGCCAAAGTATGTCAAACATTTTTAATTATGTTTTCTTGTAATATTCTAGGTTAAAATGTTAATTATTTTAGTATTTTAGTAATAAGTATAACTTACTATTATACTTTGATTGTAAAATATTCATCAAAAATGAATTGTTAGTTTCCGTTTAAAAAGTAAAATTTACCTATTTAACTATCGTATACATCCCTTCAGTCATGTTTTTAATAGATAATAAGTTAAAAAGTAATTACTTAAATTAGATATACATTAAAATTATTTTAATTCACGTCAACAATGTACTTAGTAGACATCTTATTTTTATGAGTTACTAAACATTGAATAGAATTTTTATTGGTAAAAAACACAAAATATTAATAATTTTATAATATGAGTAGTTTCTGACGCCTAAACTAATCATTCGGAAATACGTTAAAACATATTATCGGAAGTAAGTGATCTCTAAGGTTACTTTTATTTGAAAATAAAAGCTTCCAATCTCAGTTAATTGCTAAAATATTTCTCTCAGATCAAGTAGTACCACTTACAATCACATGATGTCAAAATAATGTCGTTAATCAGTTTTATTCGACATTATGACGGCAAAACGTTTAGTAAAACATAAGACGTTTCAAAACTTTCATTTCAATAATTAATTGATTAACTAGTTGGTCATTTTTTTATACCTGGATTACGCTGTGATTATTTATCACATAATTATCGATTGTCAAGAACTACATTGATGGCTGTTCGGTAAGTTGAATAAAACAAATTCTAAGATCGGCATGTATGTGTTATAGTTAATTCGTTTTTTTTTTGTTTTTGTATTATTATTAACCATAATTCTGGAAATTGAATAAATAAATACGTTCTCAACTTCACAACGAACCTAAAAAAGAGGATAAAATGCCACAAATGGTTATGAGGGTTTCTTAATGAAACAACACGCTTGTGTGAAGTTTTAAAATACGACTCAGGTAATTCTTAACTATATACAATATGATAACTAAAATAGAAATATGGACAAACACAAGACATGTTTCTTTATCGCATGCAGTATTTACAAGACAATGAAGTTATGATTAAATATGTCGGAATACAAATCATAATACTAGCAATGAGAAAATATAAAGTACTAAATAATGTATAATTGTGTGCCCAAAGCTGTTATAATAACGATAGAAATGTGTTTTCAAAAACATTAACATACATAATATTATACATGTCTCACCTAAACTTTGACGAGAGTGAGTCATCGTATTATGGAATGTCATTTCCTCATTCAATACCGGGACACCTTAGAGGACATAAACGTGGTGATTTATGTTACAGTTTTGAATGATGATAATAATATTTTTGATAAAGATAAACAAAAAGTACGTATCAACTTTTCATTTTTGTTTTTAGCCAAGCGTACGGGGAATACATTTCAAACTAATTTCTGAAAAATCGTTCATGTCGAACATAAATAAAACTTTTTAGTTTATAAACAAAATTATAATTTTATGGGCTATATTTCAGAAGAAATCGTCATCTAGACGAAAAAAAAATAAGGTATTGAGTACTTATTATTTTTCCCCAAACAAGATTTGATGGAAACGCGTATAAGTATGTGGCGACAAAAAAAAACGTTTTGTAACAAATCACACACAGCTAATTCCTAGCAGGAAAAGCGTCGACGATTTGGGGAGTTTCGCCACTTTCTTAAAAATATATATTTTTGTCATTCAGAAATGTTTTTCATTTCAACGAACAGCCACAACGAACGCTGCTGGTTCGCGACAAAGAAGTTGATAACATTGCGTTGAGTTATGAGAAATGATTAATTTAGTATTTCGTTGGTAAAATTTTAATTACAAGTTTGAAATGTATCTTGAAGCGCACCAAATATACATAATAAACGTTTGCTAAAATGTAATTGTGTTAAATAATTTACAAGAATACTGACTTCTTATTTGGAGGAATAACGACAACAATAAGATAATAATTTCCAGAGAAATATTGATGTTAGAAAAAAGTTTAACATTTTTCTGTAGTATTACGATTGAGCGATGTTAACCGTATTCCAAAAAATATACTCTACGGCCTCAAAGCTGATTTTCAAGCAAGATATAAACAAAGTAAATATGTTTTTAGCGAAGTCTAACGGATTAGAAAGAGAAACGGCTTTTGATTAAATATTTTATTAACAGGACCGTTAAAAAGACATTTCGTTTGATGATGCTGAACATATAAATACTGTGCAGTTTTAATGATCTTTCCGAGAAAACTGTACAGCCCGAGTTGTAACTTTTATTTACTAATATACCTTATCTTCGGCTAATGTAAATAATTAAAAATATTCGTGCGCAATTAACCAAAAATAATCTCATTATATTATTTAACTAGGTATTTTCGAGTAGTACACATAAAAGCTTTACAGAATCGAATTGCACAAAACATATCCTAAATGTTCTACTCATATCAATGTTAAAAAAAACTCTAAAGTAAGTTGAATTCGCAAACCTTAACAGTTAAATCGTCGGACAGTTGAGCTGTTAAAACAACTATAATAATAATAAAAACGAAGCGTTTTTTTACCTAAGGGACGCTCTAACGTTTTGGAAGGTGTCCTGACCACCGGCAGCGAACTTCTCTGTTTGTTGCCTCTTCTAAATCCGGTGGAACTGGTTTCCACTTCGGACATGATGCCGGGATCGTCGTCGAACAACATACCCGTTGATGGTGGATATCCTCCCCTGGAAGCTGGAGACTGTAATCAAAGCACCATTTAATATTACTAACAACGAACATTAAACTCGAAAGTCATTGGATTTCTATTGAATCGTTCTCTATACCAAATACATAATCGCATGCACTCTATTCGCTGATTATCCACAATCATAAGTACAATAATAATTATATTTCACCTAACTCATGAAGTTAATGACCAATTAACACGGCTAGGACATGCATACTAAGGTAGTATATAGTGTATTAAAATAACGTTGGTCGTAAATGAATTATGGAGCATTTAGGCTGTAATGACAGTTTTATTGACTCGATTTATTGAGAAATGCCCTGCTATAATGAGCGGATGATGTATAGTAAGCAATATAGCTAAATCACGATCGCTGATAATTAATTAATGGCATGATGATTGGCTGTCGAATCAAATTATGTAAAATTAAACGGATGGTACTGTTCCTTATTTAGTTGTTTTGTAAGGTTTTCATCCAGTTTGAGAATACTTCCTTTACTTACTTTTTTTCGTTGACTTTTCGATCCCATCTATAAAGCAGCGTAAACCGCAAATTAAACAAAATAGTATCAATAAGTACAAGGGGAATTATTGCTCCAAATTATGTTTAAGTTTGAATTCATTATTATAATTCAGCGATAAAACAAAAGTTAACATAGCTTTTGTCCGCGAAAGATTCCAAATTCCAACTAAAAGAAGTTTGGCATTTACATATTTGAAGAACAATGCCTATACATAAATATTTTTTAAAAAAATGTATAAACACAGTATTGCACTGACTTCTAAATCCATAGATCTCGTAAGAGCCGGTTGGTAATTGTGATGCTGTTCTCCGGATAAAGTGTGCCGGCGGGGGTCGTCTCTCCTGGAAGACCTACCACGACGAAGTTCATCGCCTGAAACATAATCAAAAAATAATTTAATTATTACTGTGAATTGTTCGGCCGAAAATCAAAACCAGAAATTAATTTGTGAAAAATTATTTCGGCTTTAATGACAAAAATACACGTAAGTTTGTTTTTTTTGGTGCAGTGAGATTTATTTCTTATAATTTAACTGATTTCACTTTCAATGCGGAGCTGAGGAGCTGAGGTTTTGTAATATTACTATAAAAGCCGTGTAATAGATAGAGAACGTTAACTGTTTTGTTGCTAAGAAGACGTCATTAAATTGGATAGTTTTTTGTTTAATATCCAAGTGGTTGAACGAATTTTGATACATAAACTCGATAATCAATACAATAACATTTAATATCTTATTAAACGTAACCGCACGGTCGCTTTTCGAAGCTGATGCGCTTTTAAATTGGGTTTGTAAAATGTAATCTTTGTTTAATATTCATGAGGCGGGCAGAATTTATAAAAACGACTCAGCTTAAATCGAAATTTAAAAAGTACTAAAGCCTGAAAAAAAGTACCAGCTTTCCTTTCATACAAATTATATGCAATGACTCGCGGCATTATAATAAATACTACAAACAAGTTTTAATGAAACAAATACATTCTTTGCGTGTATATAATCTATATTTTCGATGAGAAAGATCCTAAGCACGTTTGAATACTAATTAATTTTCCATTAGACGCATCTGTGTTGTATTTAGTAGTAAATAATGTACCTACATAAATTGCATGTTACGTAAGAATAATGCATAGTCTTGTAAACAGTTCAGTAAATGAGAAAAAAAAACTTTTTTGTCACTTATTTAGCTTTACACTATTCGGTTATATAAAATAAATAAATAAAATACCATAATGACACCTCAAATTTCAGTTTTTTAATTAGTTCTTTTTGACGGAAAAAAGCATAGGTTTTAGTCAAAACCTATGTATAAATTACTTTTTTTTAATTACAGTTTATTTAAAGGTAAATTGTAATGACGATTATTTGTATGGTTCTTGGGAAAAGTTCTGTTTAGTTTTCTAACAGTGAGCAAATAGAAATTTTAATAGTTACACAATGGCAAAAAACAAAATTGCAAAAAAGCGCTACAAATTATATAAAGCTAGAAAATATAGGTGTAGCCTTTAAATATAGAATTAATGTTTTCTAAATACATGTTGTATTTTTAATTAATATTATATTATACGGTAAAATACGGTATACTCCCAATTAGTATTGTTAAAATTTCAAAAAATATTTATTATTTATGTCGTTTCGGTTATAGTCTATGTCAAAGTGTGTTGTAAAGTCTTAAAAAATTGTTTTAGTTTGCGAGTGCTTAGCAATAAAAACAAATTTTTGAATAACTCTTTTAAAGCTGGTTTTTTCTGTGTAAGCCCAATATTAATTAAGAGCCCAGGATATCATACAATAATCACAATGAGATGAAAAAATAAATCTCTTCTTTAACAATTATACAACACAATGAGAGTGCATCAACTGGCGCAACTATAATAATAAATATAGAAAAATTATTTTGGTCCGATTACATTTTTGACGTGGTCCTTAAAAAAAGGCTTACGTGCGAAACCTCATTCCTGTTGGTCACATCCGAAAGCGGAATAACTTAGGCGATTTTGTCGGTCTAAAGAAATAAACAAACCCACCGACAAATACAACAATCCGGAAATCTCGGATGAACAAATAAAAATATAGTATACACATACATCTAACATCTTGTAAATGTCGCACACGACGACGCGTAAACCGCTAGTAACAACATTTCATAAAAATATTTCCGGTATTCTTCAAGTAGTTTTTTTTATTTTTTATAAAAATCATAAAAAGGTAAAGTGTTCAATGTTTATAGGATTTAGCCGCAAGGGCGAACAAAAGAGCCACCTCTTATCAAAACAGACACAAGGGTAAAGAATTGTTTTTATTTGCTAACAATTTTGAATTCAAATCATTCTTTAAACAATAGTATTTTCTATATAATTGTAAACATTCAACTAAAAATCAGTAAAACTAAATAATAATCCAAAATAGTATATTACTTTCTGTTCGGTTCCTGGCTGTCTTGTAGCGAGTTAACACATTATTTATCCGTCTGATTCGCTTTTTTGATTATGTTACTTACTGGTAAATTGTTGTACCAGAGTTTATGTCAGACTATAAGGCTCGAGTAACGAGTACTCAAGTAGTAATTATATAGTTAAGAAAAGAAGGATCAAATTCATTATTTGTTACATCGTCAATTCAATGATTATATACTTAGGAGATTTCTTCAAATATAATTAAAGCGTAAAATAAAGTAAAGTAAAAGCACTCATATAGGCTTAATGAGTGTATATATTATCACGAACACGGGAAAAATAGCTTAATAACAACAATTATGGCATAGAGATAAAGTAAAACAAATTTTTGTAACGTAAAGAGACGTAATAGTTTACAAAATTTAAAACTCTAAAACAAATTGTAAGTGTATACGCTAAATCGACTGTTTTTGTAATATTAGAATTATTATGATTTCCCGGTTTATCGTATTATGATATAAATACATAAACCCTAGTATAGGGGGAAATCCCAAATCAACAACATGTTCACTTAAAATAAGTCTAGAGGAAATAAGTCTAAAATAAAACAAATCATAATAATACAACTGTGGTCGCAATGGATACGTTTTGGCAATCAATAATTTTGCGAAATAGTGTTTGATTAACATAGTATCAGTTAATAAAATTGCTGATACTATGTTATACTAATTGTTGTACCTTATTTGTGTTGTATATTTGTCGTTCAAAATTATACACAATATTATAGTCTATAGGGAATAAATAATACAATTGTATTGATAACTTAGTTGTGTCACTTTGTTATTTAAAGGTAATACTTTATACCAAACGTTACAAGCAAATGTATAGATGATGGAGATAATCCTATTTCAGAGTTGAGCTCGGGCCAACATAATTTAATGAAATCAGCTTAAAAAGGTCAGACAGAAAAACTGTCGTAAAACTGATGTTATTCTATTTCTTTTTAGTTTTAACTTAAAGGTTAGGACCGGGTAATGTCACTTGTTACAGTAACAAATAAGTATGTTAGAGCGGTTATAATATTTACATATTTATTTATATCCAATAAAATTATGTTAATTATTAACACGTAATAGATTATTTTCTAATATATTATTTACTAGTTTAAATAGTTACCGGGATGGACATTTTAACCATCAACTGATACTAAACAATCGAATTAAACTGCCAAAACCGCGTTTTCTCTACGTAATTTAATGTAAAATCACATAAAATCTCAACTAATGATTTGGCGAAAACAAATAAAAAATGCTTAAAAGTATATTTGTTAGACGCCGAATGAATTATTTTTGAGCAACTAGTTTAGAGCGAGTGGAGCATAAAAAGTAAAACCGTTAATTTAACATACTACCATGAAATTGTTCAGCTCTGTCAATATTTAATGAAATGAATTACGTGACCGTGGGTTAGCCAGGTAAACCTGTAATCAATCGCTTATTTGGTCAGAGCTCTGCGCTAAATAAATATCGTATTACATAATATATAGAAACGTCCATTAAATTTAAACACCTACAAACGCATACACCAATGATAATTGTTATTGATGGATTTAAAGAATTGAAAAATAAAGATAAAAAATATTTTTTTACTAACCGAATTAAAAATTAATGAATCTTATTAATATTTGATATTTGGGCATATGAAAATACTTAACATGCCAAATGATTACACCTAATTCCACGCACTATTCATTTAAAAAACGTGTGAAATAGTTTAGTTACTCTCCACGAATTTTAAAAAAATTTTTAAAAAATTTAACCAAAATAAAACCCTTTTTTATTTATTTTTGATCACTGTAACTGTATTGCAGTTACTCAGACATTTATTTTTATTTAAAATAATAGATTATTTCAATAAAAATATTACGTCTTAATAAAATTACCAAAGTTCAAACAACATTGTACTTAAAAATTATGTTAAACGGTCGCGGTAAGACAGTTACATAAAAAATATAACGTATATCGCGATTCATCAGCTACGATATAGTTTGTATGACTTCTGACTGTAAATTCTCTTTATGTTAATAAGCAATTTTGTCAAGTTATGACAATTTTGACAAGTACTTTGTCAAGTACAATGTATTTAAAAAAACTAGTTGTTAGCCTCAAAAATCGATTTTGTAACAATGAAATCATACTACCAACCATCAGCGGACAACATGTAAATTATAAGACAATTGTGCCTAAATAAAATAGTTTCCCTATAGTGGAGGAAAACGTACATCATGGTGATATTAGTGAGATATGGTATTAATTATTGTCTTAATAACCACACTTTGTTAAAACATAAAAGTTTGAAACGGAAATTACTGGATAAACTTATAATTATAAAAACTTTATGTTAAACAACAACTTTTACCAAGGTCATTATAATTTTTTTAAATTACAGTACTATTTATCCTTATTACGAATAATTATAAAAGTAATGGAAATTTCAATTTAATGAGTCAAATTGAGAGAGAAAGTTTTTGAAAATAAATTTTAAAAAAAAAAATGTTTCTAGCATAAGTTTAGTCCATGTTGAAACCTTACGGGATCGTTAAAACAATAGCATGTGATGAATTAATATGAAAATGCGAGTCGAAAACCTAATAATATAACGATTGTAAAATTAATAATGCGGAAAGAGAAGTTGAAATGTACAATACCGACACCAAAATGAATGATTCAGGTTTCGGTTAGAGGGTTAGGAAATTGTTTTATGAATTATACATAATATAACGGTCCAACAGATGTGAGCTCGTTTTGCATTGAAAAATAATATTTCCACTTACCATTTGGTGCGCATTTGTGCTTACATCACTTTACAGCTTATATTTAGTGAAACGTGATATTTATGGTATCTACCGAGGAGACGCTTTCGGTTATGTCTCATTGTACTATTTTTCAACTCTTGTTCGATCTGCCAGTATCCCATTTCGT